CCTATGTTTGCAGGGACTGTGGGCGAGGCTTCGGTCAAACATCACATCTCATCACACACTAGAGGACACACTCAGGGGAGAAGCCCTATGTTTGCGGGGGAGTATGAATGAGTCATTAGCATTAAATTGCATGTCAGCAGCCACAGGACAATTGTAGCTGCCACACACTTGATACCCCAGCCTGAGGGGTCTTCAGAGGAAATCTTCTGACCTCTTACCCCCCAAGAGTGTAATGAGGACACAAATATCTGGTTAAACAAATCCTCCACTTTCATGATGAGAGATGAGATAGATAAATAGCTGCTTAAGTGCTATGTGAATGTTACACCAATCTCCTCCATGGTTCCTTTGGCCTCCTGTTCTAATAAATTTTGTCTCCATACAAATCTCAGGGCCACACACTTCATTACCCTCTCACCACTGAAAGCAGAGGTGTCCAGGAGGGCCACAGAGAACTCTCACGCTCAGCCACAGGAGCTCAACCCCAGAACGGCATATGAGTCTGGAGTCACTGTAGTTAGTTTACTGACCAGCGAGAGAAATCTGGGGTTTGAGGGAGACTCACTGGGGAAGGGAATTACCTGGACTCCTGGGAAGTGTGTCCTTTTCTCCTAAGAGGCCCCACCTCCTCCCTTGGCTTCCTTCTCTTGGTTCCTCTCCTGGTTTCCTAAACCTCTGCAGTCTAAGAGGTGAAAGCCAGGCAGGGACAAGTGCGCGTGTGTGTGTGTGTGTGCGCCTGGCTCTGTCTGAGCACTTGGTCTCCCTCACCTTTTCCTTGCTGTCCCTTGAGAGTCAGCATCTCATGGTGTGAAGCATGTGGACTCCAGATTAGACCATAGTGGGTTTGACTCAGCTCTGCCCTCACCAGCTGTGTGACCTAGGGCAAGACGCTCAGCTTCTCTGTGCCTGTTTTCTAACCTATGCATGGGAATGGTGACCCCGGCCTTGTGGGCTGCCATCACAGCTGAGTCAGCACAGGCAGAATCTGGCTCAGAGGATGGCTGAGTACGTGCATCTGTCCCTGAACACCTGTTAGTGCCCACGTCTTCGTGCTGGACATAGAAACATAAGGAAAGTGTTCGGGCCTTGGAGCCAGATTCACAGGTTAGGCAGTCACACTTTTCTCTGCATAGACTTGGCTGCCCTGAGAAGGAGGCGTGGGGTTAGGGGGCACCTCCTTCCGGGCCACTGCCCTTCCCCCTCAGCCTGGAAGCCTCAGAGCATCCCTGGGCCCAGGCACACAGTACTGAGAATAAGGCAAGACAAGGCACTTGAAGGTCCTGCTGAGAACTGACTGGGGACAGCACCTGCAGAAATTTGTCCCACTGTAAGCGGGTCTCTGAGGCCCTGCACGCCTCACCTGCGTGGCCCACCACACAGCAGCTTCTGTGACACACCCACCTTGTACCTGGCTCCGTGATGTTTAATGCACTCATCAACATCTTGAAATTCTTTTTTTTTTTAAAGATTTTATTGGGGAATCGGGGAAGGGGAACAGACAAGTTGCTGTCCTTTTGTTCAGTCTAGTTGTGGAGGACATCGCTTCACTGGCCCATGTTGGTATTATCATTGCGCTCTTCCCAGGTGAGGCAGTCACTCACGGGGCACTGGACGGCCACTCATGGTGGCTCTTGGCTGCTCATGCCGGCTGCCAGCCATTCACGGTAGCTCAGGGCAGCCCACTGCAGCCTCACTGCAGCCTACGCCATCGCCGGCAACTCACGGCAGCCCAGCTCCAGGTCGAATTGTTGTTCAGCTTCTTAGCTGTAGAGGGCAGTATCATTGGCCCTCATGTGGTATTCGAACTGGGGGCCTGCTGCTCAGAGTTGGTGTCCCAAGCCAACTCCTAACCAACGCGCCACTCTGCCGGCCCTCAAAATTCTTAGTTATTGTGTCTTTAAACTGACGTTTGTTAGTGAAGTCTGATGGGACAATGCTTCCAGCAGAGCAGATGTGCACAGTGTTGGTCGTTCCTGGCCACCCATTCACAGACAATGTCCACAGGGGCCCAGGGGCACAGATCCCCGTGGACGCAGTGGGTTGTGAGTCCAGCAAGACTCAGGCAGAACAGGACAGCCACCTGCCACTGGGGGAGTGAGTGCGCTGACAGCTCCAAGGTGCCACGGTTTCCTTGGGACCAGAACCAACTTCAAACAGAGAGAAGGCGCCACAGTCAGTGTGTCCCCCATCGCTCCCTCTCCCACATGTGTTACTGCCACTTCCCGGGGAGACCTGTCCCCTCTCAGTCCTGTTCCTGCTATGATGGGCTCAGGGAGGCTGAATTCCAGCTCCCCACCCCTTAGAGGAGACACAGAGGAGTGTAGGCCACCCAGGGCGACACCCAAACCTCACGCACCACCTGCAGCAATGACCCACCTGTCCCTGTCTCTGTGCCAGGCTTATGAAGAGTCTACATAAACCATGTGCATTTCAATACTAAATACCCACTATGCTTTTTTCAATGCATTTCTTAAAAGGAGGTGTGTGTCCATGCTTTTGTTTCCCTTCCCTGTGCACTCCTCCTCCTTGGACAGAAGACTGTAAATAGTCTGTGGCTTGGAAGCCAGGGGCCATGGGACAGGGGAAGAGCTATGGAGTGATGCTGGCAGAGAAGCTGGAGCTGAAATACAGTGGGGAGGGGGACCCAGGTGGTGGTCACCTCCACTTCCACCAGGACTAGCCTGAAACTCTCCTGGAAGGCTGAGCAATTCAAGGTCAGGGGAGACTGGTCTGTACCCTCTTCCTCCCCATTCAGCAACAGAACAAATTTCTAGCATGGCCGCCAGCCTCCAAGATGGACCCCAAAATCCACCTCTGCCACCCACGCCCTTGTACCTTCTCTCCTTCAAAGAACAGGGCTGACCTGTGTTGTGAACATCATGGTGAGTGACTCCCAGAGCTGTTGTAAAAAGGCATTTGGGCTTCAGCCTTGCTCCGCTGTCGCACACGGCCTCAGATCACCTTGTGCAGGGAGCTGGGTGTTTACACACCCCTCCTGCCCAACTGTCAGCTGCTGGCAGCCAGCCCTCGGTTTGAAGAGGAGGCTCAGAGAAGTGAATGCTTCCTGACGTCTGCAGTTGAGGGCATCACCGGGTGGAACAGTCTGCCAACAACCCAGAACAGCAGAGTCCTCCACAGCTGGAATCAGGCAAGCCTCCTGGGGCCTGAGCAGGGTAAACTGCTCTGAAACTCAGTAAATGTGTCTTTGACCCTCAGACCCCGCCCCACCCCTTTAGCCCCTGTCCCGCCCAGCACCTGCTCGAGTCCCACCCTATCATTCCGCCCGTCCCCTGGACTCCATTTCCGGCCCCTGGAGGAGCCTCGGTGGCCCCTGCAGGTTTGTTGACCCAGTTTGCCCACCTGCACCCCCTCCTGAACGAAGTTCCCTGGGGCCCTACTGGCGAGCACCGAGGTGGACATACGCTGCCCCCCTCCCGGTTTGGTCAGACATTTGGTCTCCGGGTCCTGGGAGGTGACAGAAGAGAGACAGGGGCCGGCCGGGGGAGGTGCTCCAGGCCTCCCCCAACTCTGAGGGTGGTGTGCGTGGGGTGACCTCTGACTGCCTCGAGCTGTCCCGAATTAGCCAGGCATGAGCTCCAGGGCCGTTCCACGGCTGCGCACACTCCAGCGACACCTGGGCTCCCTGGAGGTAGGGGGCCAGGCAGGGACCGGGGTTTCTGTCCCCTCATCTGTCTGGGGCTAAGGTCCGGTGACCCATGAGCCAGGGTACAGAGAGCTGTGTTCTGGGAGAACAAGGAGACCAGGTTTGTCCATCCATGTCAGCACTGACCAGCAGCAAAGAGCGGTGGAAGGGAGGCCTGTGTGCCAGAGGTACCATTCAGTGACTGGGTGGAGGGGATGGGGGCCCAGTGGGGGCGGATGGGGGACAGGTCAGCTGGTTTATGAACTGTATTTCAGCGTGCTAACACCGCAGCTTCGCATGCTGATCATTAATTCCAGTCCCCCCTCCCCCAAAGGGACACTTAGGGACTCTGCCCGGCTGGGGCTGTATATTCTAAGGCTGGTGTGGACACCACTTGGGCCCACTCGCTCATCCCTGCCCCCGTCTCGTGACTCAGGACAGAGGCAAGGAGCCAGTCAGCAGCCCGCTGACCACACACGTGCTGGACACTGCCTCAGGACTCCCCGCCCAGGGCCTCTGCCTCTGGCTCTCCAGGCTGGAGGACAATGGCCAGCAATGGATGGAACTGAGGAAAAGGTAGGAGGGAGGGCTGGGGCAGGACTTGGGTGCAGACCACCTCCCCTAAGCCAGGGCCAGCCCTGAGTTCTGGCTGGTACAAGCAGCAAGGCGAAGGATCCCAGCCAGGCAAGGAGGGCGGCACTGAGGGCTGACGGCTGAGCTGCCCACTGTCTCATGGTCCCCTGCTGCCTCCGGAGCCTGTTTCATCAGGTGTGTAGTCCCTGCTGGCACAGCATCACACCCCTGAGGGCTGGGTTGCTTAAGGCCTGCGGTGGAACCTAAAAGGCCTCACTGTCACCATGTTTAACAGGCAGCTCACTGAGCACTTCATTTCTCTTCCTTTTATTCTCCCTACACCCTGTGGGCGGGCACCATAATTACCCCTATTACAGATGGGGAGACTGAGGCAGGAAGAGCCAAGGTAAAAGCTGGATCCCACACCATGCCCGGCCCCTATCCCTTGCCCAGGCCTTGCTGGGGAGGCCCAGCCCAGGCTTGGGTTGGCATCATGGCACTTGGGTGGGCCCTGTGAGCGGGTCCCCAGACCCTTGATCTTGAAGGACACAGGCTCCTATGGTGGTGGAAGTCGGGGGCTGGGCCCCAAAAGTTCAGGGCCTGAGGGTGTGGAGCTCATACCCTCCCTGTTCAGCCCCTCACAAAAGCGGGGTCCAAGTCACATCTGAGGGTTAGCTGTGGTCTTGGAAGAACACATAGAGTCCTATGGGGGTCATATGGACCCATCCCAACCCCCCATAAACTGCTGGTACATGCCGCTCTTTCTAAGCGCAGTGCTGACCCTTGGAAGCAGAGCTGGTGGGAACCAGGTGAGGTTCGAGCAAAGCCAGCCCTCGGAGCCCTCCACTGGGACGCTCACTGCGGCTGGAAATAGGAGGCCATGTGGATGGGGGTCCGGATAGAGTTCCTGACCCAGACCGCCATGGACACTATTAACTAAAAAATAAAGGTTATAAAGCAATATGAGAAGTATGATCCATTTTATGTTTAAGTTTGTAAATAATACTTATGCATGAGAATATCAGGCCAAACGTAAAGTGATTACTGCTCATGGTTCTACCCCTTCTCCTGTGGTTTCCTAAAAAGACAGTGCAGCGGGGTCCCTTGGCTGCCCCAGGCCCTAGCATCATCCCGAGCCAGGCTGCAGGGGCATCTGAGGCTGCAGAGTGTGCAGACCCAGAGAGCCAGACAGAGGTGGCACCTCATCCCCTCCCGCCCACCCCACCCCAGCTACACTGACCCCGACAGCCGCTGTCCTGGGCTCCTGCTGCCTGGCCAGATGAAAGCGAGCACCTACAAACTGTTCTTCAACACTGAGGGCTACTGGTAGAAAAGGGGGCAGGAGAGCTTCTACCCGTATGTGGAGGTGAGGGCCTCAGGCTGGCCGGAGGGTGGAAGCCTGTGGTTCACAGTGAACCTGGTGAAGTCCTGCAGTGGCCAGAGCCCCTACCACTCTCCCAGGGTGGTGACAGTCATGGACTTTACCTGGCTTGGGCCCCCAGAAGGAAGGTGGCCCTGCCTTGTCCCTGGGTCAGGCTGTGGGGACAGGGCCGAGGCTGATGCAGCCCCCGTGGACAGAGGTGTTCACCAAGCCCATCCAACTCACTGCGCCTGACCGTACTGCCTCCCACTAAACCTGGCCCTGTTCAGGGTGCATCACTTGGGGAACCCGGCAGGCCCAGGGCCCCTCAAGCCAAGCTCCTTCTCTGGGGAGTACTCAGTCCAATCCCCAGCCCTCACCAGGTTTCCAGTTCTCCACTATCAGGCTCTAGCTAGCCCAGGGGCTCCTGTTCCCCTTGATCCAGCCCCTGGACAACAGTCTGTGCTGCTGGAGTCTCCCAGGCAGCGTTGGGACCAGGGTACTGGTGAGCTGCATGCGGGCCCCTCACTGTCTTCTGGCACTTCCTCGGCCCTCACAGGTAGTTTTCACCATCACCAATGAGACCCACAAGTTCCACGTCCCCCTGCTGATGAGCCCCTGGTCCTACACCATGTACCGTGGGAGTTGACCGCCAGCTGGCCTCAAGCACCGATCCCATCACCATGGCCCCTAACCCAGTCCCATCCCTCCACAGTGGGTTCCACGCTCATCATGGGGCCTCAGGCCCCACTTTCTGTGAGGGGTTCTGGCCCCTCATTTCCCAGTGGCAGCTGCGACTTGGGGATCAATAAATTCGGTGCTGGCATCTGCACGGCTGCTGCAGTCACTGGGCAGAGCTCAGCTGGTGCTGCCCGCCCGAGGTGGGAGGGCGTGTGGATGGGCAGCAGGGGAGGGAACCGAAGGGCAACGGCCCTGAAAGTGCTCCTCCCACAGCAGGTGACCGGACACGCTGCACACGTGAAAAGCCTTCATTTGCAGATCAGACAAACCTAAGAAATGAAGGCCTGCTGTCCTGGGTGTGTAAAAGAGGGTGCCACCCAGCCAGAAGTCCAGGGCAGGGGCTACATTGTCCAGGGGGATCCCAAAGGCCAGGACCTTTGCTTTGTAGAAGGTCACTGTGGGCCTGTGTGGACAGAGAAGTGTCAGGGAGGGGCAGGGAACCCAGCAAGCCTGACCCTCACTCAGGCCCACCCAGACCTGAGGAGGATGTGGGGGGCCGGGGAACCGCCAAGCTAAGCTTTAACAGCTTCTCACTCTAGGCCAGACCTGCCCCTAAACTCAGGATCACAGTGGGGGATGCTGCCGTCATCCTTGTGTCACAGACGTGGAGACTGAGGATTCCTGAAAAGCTGAGGAAAGTTGGAGTGCAGGAGAAGTCACATGAACTGTGTGGTTTCACACTGGGGGGGACATGCCTGGTAACATGCGGGATCACTTGGAGGTCCCTGTCGGGCAAACACCAGCAGCCAAAGCTGTGGGCTCAGGTATGGAGGCTGCGGGAACCGAGTCTGCACTGATTGGTGAATCGCTCCAGGCCCTGCTCTGGGCTCCTCCACACCAGCTCCAGTGGTCTCCCTTCACAGGAGGGCCCTGACCTCACACCCCTAGGCCCTAATCTCGCCCCTGCCCCCAAGGCTCTAATCTCGAGCCTGCCCTCCTTCCCACCCCTTCGCTTTGCCTTTGTGCCAAGTAGCCAATGGCTGGGAGGATGGCAGGTTGGACCCAGGGGTAGGCGCCTAGGAGGGGTGCTCCCACGTGGGGAGGGCCATACTGTAACCCCCACAGTGGAGTGGGAAGGGATCGGGTTCCTTCTGTTCCAAGTGTCAGTGGCCTCCTCCCTACCCAGGGATGGCCATGATTCAGCTGTGGGTGTGGGTGTTTATGGAGTGGGGGATGGCAGAGAGAATGGGCTCCCCACCACCCCAGGGCAGGTGTCTAAGGTCCTTTGAAATGTTCAAGTGACAGCAGCAGGTTTAGAAACTTTTACTTCAGTTTCCTAAATCTCTACCTGAGCGCAGATTTTTATTTTCAGAGAAGAAATTGACATAAAAGGAAAGAAAACACCCGCACCAAGGTTTGGCACACCATCTGTACCAACACCTACCACTGACGACCAGAGAGCTGCAGCAGCTTGAGCCAAGTGGGCCTTCAGACCTTCCTCCGCGTGAGAGCAAATCCCAGAGTCAGAGAACTCCTGGGTTGGACTGGTTGTTTCCCACAGAAGATACTACTGGTGGAGAGGCCTGGTGGGGCCCAAAGTCCAACCCTTTCTCTGATCACCAGCCTGCTCTCTTGTCAGGCAGAGGGGGGAAATTCTTCCTAATTACTTAGGCTGCAGTGGCTCCTTTTCTAATTTTCACTTCTTCATGTGCGATTGTAGCAGTTCTGAGAGATGGCTCTCCTAAGCACTGGGCCACTGGAATTTGAGCCTGAGTCTACCTTTACTAGGTCTACCCTTTGTTACCTGTTCCTTGGGACAGGTCACACCTCTCAGAGTCTTTGTTTTGTGACTTTTAAAATTCCCCATTTTTAGAGCTCAGAACATTCATTGCTTCCTAGTGAGCACGAAATAGGTGTTAACCAGAAAGACCTCTGCTGAGGCCTTTGCTCTGCTTCCTGACAGGCTGTAAGGTTGCCCCTCACANTGACAGGCTGTAAGGTTGCCCCTCACAAGGACTGTGTTTGTCATTTGTAAATTAGAGCTCATTATATCCACCTGCTAGGGCTTTTGTTAAGTTAATGAGATTATGTATATAAAAAGCTTACCACAATGTCTGCTACAGAACAAATCCTCAATAAGTGTTTTTCATTGTTTTGATGATGATGGCTATGAGTCAGCTGTTTATCTCATTTTAAATATGGTTAGGAAACTCACATGACTGGACTTATTAAGAATAAAGTGAGGGCTGCCCAAGTGGCTCAGTCAATTAAGAGCTTACTTACTCACGAGTGTGAGCTCTGAGCAACAGGGTCACTGGTTCCACTCACACATGGGCCAGTGACACTGCGCTGGAGCTGAGCTGCTGCTGAGCTGCCACCAGGTGGCAGGATGGCTCAGCTGGTGAGAGCACATGCTCCTAACAACAAGACTGCCTATTCGAGATGGTGGACTATGCCCTCCCTCAACTAAGACTGAACTTGGCACCTTGAGCTGAGCTGCCACCCGGATGGCTCAGTGGATAGTGCGTGTGCTCTTAACAACCATGCTGCTGGTTCGACTCCTGCATAGGATGGTGGCTACGCCCAATTGCAACTAAAACTGAACTCAGCACCTTGAGCTGAGCACGTGACTGGACTTGGGGCCGAGCTTGCTGTGCCCTACACAACTAAGATTGAAGAACAACAACTTGGCTGTTCCCCTTCCCCAATTCCCCAACACTGTTCCCCTCCCCCAATTCCCCAATAAAATCTTTAAAAATAAAAGAATAAAGTGAAACTTCTATAAGGTACTTGAGACTTTTTGGTATTCAACAAAACTATTTATACTCATGTTTTTCAATCTATTAAACAGATAATTTACCAGATAATGGAATTGGGATAGAAAGATACTGACAAAATCCTCTACATAAATTGTTCTCAGTGCTCGACTGGTAGCTTAACTTTGAGCCTAATTTCCTTCTTGACATCACCTCAGGAGACTTGTTCAGAGCAGGAAAAAATGCTTACAGATCCAGTGATCCAAATACGCAACACCTAGGAGGTTATTCTAAGGAACAAAGAAAGAGACGCATGCGCACTATGAGAATATTCATTGCAGAAAAACAGTTCAAGTCAAGGCACATTTAACAACAGGAAGGCTACCAAATGCATGACGTACCCATTGGACAGCATTTATGCAACCATTTATAATGCACTTACATAAAATATTTATGCAGCAGGAAATAATCATGATGTAAGTGGAATATGAAAAATAGCACAAAAACAGTAAAAATCTTGGATGCATTTCTAGAAACACAACACCTACCAAGACTAAATCACAAAGTAATAGAAAATCTGAGTAAGTAACCAAAAATCAAATTAAGTAGTATATATATATGAACAGCTGATTTTGGACTTGCCAGCCTCCTTAGTCCCATAATCCCGCTCATTAACATACATCTCTTTCTGTATATCTTCATATCCTATTGGTCTGTTTCTCTGGAAAACTGACAAGAATATAGTGGGTGAAGGAATGGGAGCATGGATAGAAAATAGATTGGGATGGCTAAGTCTGCAGAGGCTGGCAATTGCTTGGATATGGAAGGAAAGAGGAAGAAAATACCTTGGCGGTCCAGGATGTGACAGGGAGAATGGGATGGACTCACATTGGAAAGTCAGGATGAAGCACTGGATACAGGGAGAAGAGAATAACTCAGTTGGGGACCTCTGTAGGTTAGGTTTCACTGGTCCATTTGAATGAAAACAGCCAAGAACAAGGGGTTAGTGATGGACATGAAGTTGATTGAGGATTTCTGAGCAGGTGATACAATACAGAAGTCAGATGAATAGAAGCAACATCGGAAACCATGGCACTAAAAGATCAAGCAGCTAAAAGGGCTTTTTAAAAAGGAGAGAGAGAGAGAGAGTTAAATCAAGATCCATATGGCCTCCTGTGCCTGTTGGTGTTGGGCAGGGGGACCTGGATCCAGAACTGTAGCCTGGGGGAGGGGACAGCTCAGGGGAGCTTCATTCGTGCAGCATCCAGGAAGGAGAGCGTTTCAGGGAGAAGCAGTGATCAACCGCGACGACCACTACAGACATGAGGACAAGCAGCCTCTGGGAGGTCTGCCTCGGAGTGGTTTCCCCTGAGTGACAGGTACAGACGATGACTCACACTGAATCAACTAAGAGAATAGCTGGTGAAATAGTGGAAGATGTCATAGTAGGATCATTTCCAAAGAGGGAAATCTGATGGTGGGAGACAACAGCAGGATAATCAGCTGAACAGATGGCCAAAACAAGATGCTACATTGGTGAGTGAGAGGTGAACATACTGCACACACAAGGGAAGAACCAGTGCTGAATAGACTGGGAAGGGAAGATGACGGATGGGCTGAACTACTTGTGGAGGGAGGGGAGGTAAGAGCCAAACTGAAACAAGTATTCATCCCAATGAGAAAATGGTGGAATAAAGTATGAGTTTAGTTTATCTTCTAACAAAAGAAAACAAACCATCAAACAATCCCCTCCCCCACCACATGCAGTCATTCCTATCGGGGTACTGCTAACAGACTCCATGCCAATAAATTCAAGGTAGGGCACTTAAAAAAGATAATGAGTTTAGTTTAAGATGAGAAATACATTTAACTGAATTAAAAATTACAGTACCTTTTGCTGCATAACAATGAATCAGGTTGTTTTCTAAATGTAGTAATTAAGTCAATGAAGCAAAAAATAACACCTCAAAACTTAATTAAAATCCAACTTTTGTAACCTCACTAATTTAAGTTACAACGAATTCAAATGCGAAATCACAGTTGATAGCCTATCTTACCACCTACTGAAGTCCCAATAACTGTCCAAGGATCTTACAAAATTCTTCCAGGCAAAATATCGAATTTCCAGGAGGTATCCTTGTCTTTTTGCATTCTTTATTATTTACAAAAAGTGAACCTTGAGTATAACATATTTATGTATCATTTACTAAAT